CCCCCCCCGCCCGTGTCGCCGGCAAAGAGAGTCAGGGAGGGGGGGGGGAGACCGAACAAAGTTTGAGCGCAAATAGTACATTGGCGTCCACGCGGAAAGGATAACCAAGTCGCGACAGAGTGCGACGTGCGTTGCTGTATAGATATGAACGCTGGGGATACCTGCAGGAGTCAATCCGCCTTCGTTTCTGCAATACGGATTGAAGGCTAGTGTGTTATCGTTTTCGGCTTCTTGCGATGCGGAGGCAACCGACCAGCAACAAGGCAAAGGCATCGTGCTGACTATTACCTCTGTTCTGAAAAAGTGATGGGCGAGCATTTCTCCTCCGGGCGTGGGCCTGGGCGGTATGATAGAGAGGGGTTTATGTTCGCAGTCCCTGTGAGCAGGGCAGTCTGTGAACATGGTAGACAGTCTGTCGAAGTACGGGAAAATCGTGTTGAAAAAACTATTTAGAGTTTCAACCGCAGAGACACTACGAGAGTTTCCATCAGGTGGGAGAGAGAATGAAGCAGACATGAAGAAAGAGGTGCCGTTAGGGCGGTAGACAGCAAACCTCAGGTGTACAACGAGCCTGAAACGGCGGTCCGAAAAAAACTATTCATCCCTCCTCTCACGAGACACAAAAAGAAACGGGAAGAAGGCCTGCAGCTCACCGATGGTGTTGACATTCGTGGCATCCGGAGTCGGGTTCAGGGACTCAAGCTGAAAAATCAGGTCCATTGCCGCATCCTTTTCTTCCTGCGTGGCTACTTGGCCTCTGGGGAAGGGGAGAAATATCGGGTACGAATACATACACGTGAGAGAGAGGGAGAGAGAAAACAAGAAGGGAAGAGAGCAGCGGTGTCAAAACCTCGAGACATGCCGAGGGTTGTTACAGGCACGAGAACGACCATACACCAGTGGAGACTACAAAAAATTACAAAGCCGCTGCTGTGTAGAATGGCTACTGTACAGTACCTCTCGTGGTCTTCTGGCTGGAGGCGCTACGGGCTCCACCACACAAAATACCGAGGGTGGGATGGCGACCTGGCTTCATGTTTCCCTCCCTGTTTGACAGAAACCAGCGACTCTTCTTCGGTACGTCGGGAAAGATGCTGCCACTACTTCTCATGGCTCATCTTTCGTCCAAAAGTCATGCGCATGCACAATGCTACAATTGGCACTTGGTGGGGCGTAGCAAACGACGACCCTTGCTCACATGCTCTGCCGAATTCAGAAAAAGGTATGCTTGAAAACAAGTAGCCTTCACGTGACGTGAATGAAGATTGGCACAGCCGTACTTTGACCTCGCACATGGCACTCACTGCTACCGCCGCCGTGACGGGGAGAGGTGCGCTCACGTCTCGCGTCCTCGATCGAAGAAGAACAAAACCACCGAGCAAGTAACCCATGCACGACTTATCTGTCAACATTAGTCAATCCACCAAGAGCATGATCTATTGCTCCGTACTGATACATACGATGACACCACGGGCTATGCCCCTTCTACGGCAGTACAGGACAGGAACGGTGGCTCTCTCCCGCGGGCGTCTCGCACGCATTGATTACACACCATTTGCACTTTGCACGTGCGTTAATACCGGACCAGCTGCCACCGGGTCTGACATCACACGCCTGGTGTATTTTTGTAGATACACGCTTCACCTCTACAGCAGTGGTTAGCAACACATGTTTCGAACAAATCACCTGTTGGAAGTGGCGGCGATGGACAGAACCTCGCGTTTCATGGTCTCTCTGAGCTCGGGGTTGTCGTCGGCCAGCACCGCCGGCACCGCAGACGACCCCGCGGCGTCCCCCACGTCGCTCGGGAAGTCCCCTGCCTCGAAGCTCATCATCCCCAAGCGCCGCCGCTGCTGCTGCCAGCCGCAACGGCTAGTGCTGCTGCTGCTGCTGCTGCTGCTGCTGCCCCAGATACCACCGCCACGTCTCACGGCTGCGGGTGTAACCCTGTGAGATGCAGGGTTGAAGACTGAGAAGCCGAATGCAGCTGCTGGCGAAGCCGCGAAGGCTAAGAGGAACGCCACGCGGACTTGCTCCTTGCGCCTCATGCTGCTGATGCGGCGGTTCTTCGCAAGCAGGAGGGAGGCCTTCAAGTTGCGCGGGTCAAAAAAGGGTGTCCGCCTGGCAATGCAGCACGCTGGTTTGGTGGAAGACGTGTTGCAGCGATGCCTCCCGATATAACTAAAGTGTCGCCTCGAGCGGGTGGGCAACAACAGCGGTGGTGCGTGTTGCTGCTGCTGTTGGGAAAAGCTAACCCGCAAGGAACGGAGAGGTGAGGAGCTACGAGACAGGAGACGACAATTGTGGTCGGTTTCGTCCAGAACCAAGAAACATGCCACCAACCGGGGATAGTTGAAACCCTCTCCTCGACGGAAAGCGTGCTTCGCAACTTGCCGTGGACTCTCTCCTGTGTAGTGCACCGTTAGCAGCAGAAAAGGGCTGCTGTCGAATACGCTTGTCGCATTCAGCCGTGCGTTAGTGAGCGGAGGCCTTGGCGAGGTGGGGTGTGCATGCTCAGCAAGGGAGAGAGCGCAAACGAGCGGAGGGATTGCACTCTCCGGCAAACTGCTGTGTGACCTCTCACAACCGACATGGGCTTTGCCAATCGACGAGCCGCGGTGATGGGGCTCTTGGTCGCGGGGCTAGCCTTCGCTTCGGGTAAGCCCGCCTGGGGGGCGGACGGGGAGGGCCTTAAGAACGTCAAGAGCGGAGGGCACCACAAGGGGGCGCCGGGGCACAAGGGCCTCGACGGTGATCTGCTGGACTTCGACTCGGTTTCCCCAAAAGATTGCGCGAGCTACCTCTGCGTGTCCAGCGCGGACAAGGCGACCTACTACATCGAGGCGGGCTGCCCCGGGCAGTTCGCGGACTACGAGCCCGATAGAGATTCGGATGAACCGGTGGATTCCTATTTAGGCTTTAGTTCCTCTGCAGGGTGAGGAAGTGTTGCAAAGCGTGGTGATTTGCTTGTCATCATTTGGTTTTTGTCTGTCTTGGTGCACGCTTTCTTTTCGCCCAAAATGAACCCTCCGCCCCCCCGGTGTTTCTCGACGATAAACCCAGCCCGAAGCAATGGGGGAATGGGCACGTTTGTGCGATCATATACAGGCTTTCATATGTACAGGCTGTGTCCATTTCATTGTTGGAGTGTCATATCTGTGTATTTTTTCGAACGGAAGGAAATGAAGGAGGTGTTGCACGGCACAATATTTGGGCTTGAGTTCCTCTGCAGGGTGAGGGAGTGTTCCAAAGCGCGGTGATTTGCGTGTCATCATTTGGTTTTTGTCTATGTCTTGGTGCACGCTTTCTTGTCGCCCAAAATGAACCCTCCGCCCCCCCGGTGTTTCTCGACGATGAACCCAGCCCGAAGCGATGGGGGAATGGGCACGTTTGTGCGATCATATACAGGCTTTCATATGTACAGGCTGTGTCCATCTCATTGCCGGAGTGTCATGTCTGTGTATTCTTTCGAACGGAAGGAATAAAGGAGGTGTTGTACGGCACAAAACGGTCCCACCAGCCTGCAAAGGTCAGCGGCTCATCAGGCACACACTCATTCGAACAGGTCGCGTTGTCCCTCTCTAATCATACGGACTGTAGTACATTTTATCTTACAAGTGCAACGAAAGCATCAGTCTTTCCTCGAGCCACTCTCTCTCTGGTTGCCGTTACTCCGTCTAGCAACACCCACAAATTCTGTCTCGAAAATTGCTCTGTGGGTACACGTACAGCAGTAGTGCAAGAGTTGCATCCCCAAAACCTGCGGCGCAAGGCGGACGGACGTATGCATAGGTTTATAGGATAGTGTGGATGGAGTCAAGCGAACGGTAATCGGCCCCGGCCACCTTGTGTGGTGCTGAACTGCTACATAGGAAGACTTGGGCATCGTTGAAGCCTTGAAACGACCGTGTTGTTGAATTCCACGTATGCCACATGGGCATGGTTTCATGGGCGCTGTAGCGAGACCGAGTATCGACACGGCTGCTGTTCTGTCACGCATGTGCTGGCATGTGGTTCTGCTGTTGACAGTTGACGTATGCATACGACTCGTTGGTTCCCCTGTTCGAGATCGTATGAAGAAACACAACTTGCCGCGCTCAGTATTCTGGGTGCGTTGTGTGCCAGCAGTTTCAACCCGCATTGCGGCACCGAATGGTGGGGGATGGCGTTTCTTCCTACTGCTGTATTCCTACTTCTGCATCACTATTATAGTTGTCCACAATCCCATGGCCACAAGGCGGGGTCTCAAATATGTACCGCTGGAATGGCTACATATTTTCTGTTGTGGTCTCTCTGTGCCCACACTTGTTGTGAAGCAAAACGCTGCATATACTCGTACGAGTGCTGAAGAACTACTGCTAGCCTTGAAGTACCGTGTGCCACGTTGTTGCTGACCTTTTCCTTTCGGCTCAACCAAGGCTCGCGCCGACATCACCGGCTACAAAGCCACGGGGAAGTCGCGGTCGCGAGGAAATCATGCTGACAGCGCTGTTTTCTCTTTTGGCTCCACGAAGATGGCGACGCTATCTATGCATCCTCGGTGCTGAGAGTTTTCATCCATGCACAGACACAGCAAACAACACAGCTATTCACCCGCAGCGGCGGCGCATTAAATCGCGATATATCGCCACCACGTGTGCACCCCAAAAACTATCTACCGGGGATCCTTTTTCTCAGTGACAGTAGCAAGGTTGTGCCCGTTCCGGCAGCCACTGAAACACGCTAGCGAACCTTCTCCCTCCGTGCTTTTCTTCGCTCAAATATACATGCTCACACCGCGCTCGGGCGTTGCTGTGTCTGTCTGTCTGTCTGTCTGTCTGGCTATTTCGTGTTACACACAGGGCCTCTACAGGTGTCAGCACGGGGACCCTGCTCTCCCTCGCGTGCGCGTCCGGCGTCTTCGCCGTGGGTGTTGGATTCGTTGCTGGCTACAAGGCATCTCCCTCGTTCGCCTACATGCGAATCCCGTCGTTTGCGTGAAAGTTCGGCTTGTGAGTCGCCATCAGCGTCAAGTTTAGGGAGATTTAGTGGGGTGACGGAGGGGGGGAAGGCGGGGTGCTCTTCAGCAGCTGGCAGGGGATCGTGTTGGAGGCGGCGCCGCCCAAGATAGGGGAGGGAGGTCGGGGAGTAGGCGAAGGAGGAGATCCGAGGTGCCGCGGAGCGGGCGAAGGGGTGGGGGGGAGGGGGATACTGCATCAAACTGCATCAGCACACGGCTAAGAAGAGAGGAAACACGGATGTACGCGGCGGAACCTCGGTGTGTGACGTGCAGGGCAACACCAGCCTAGTTCCTGTTGAAAGGAAAACGAGAATGAAACAGAGAACGGCAGTGCTGGAGGGCTGGGTGCGCAAAGGGCGGGGGTGACCTTGGAGTGACAGGAGCAGCGGTGACGAGCGGGAACGAGTGGCGTGCGGATGGGGTCGCTTGAGCACAGTCTGCGGGGACGGGCGTCGTTGTGGCTGTTCTTGTTTGTATTTGTGTTCGGAGTTAGGTTGTGATTTGTAATAGATTTCACTACGGGGCACTTGCATCCTTGCATGAGCCGGGCGTGCGTTATCTCCCTCGATGCCTTCATCGTCAAAGGATGGAGAGGCAGATTATTTCTCATTTATGTAACGTTCCTTTATCTGTATGCGTATAATTATTCTTCTCTTGATGTGCCATGCACGCGGAGAGGGCTTTTGCTGTGTGGTTCCCGGCAATCGCGCTCGAACCTAGGGTTGGTTGCACGGTTGCTTTTTTCCTTTTTTATGGTGACCCGGTGTGATCGTGTGATGGTTGTTCATGTTTTTGTCTTTCGGCACGAGTTAATGAAACATCCTTCGTTTCTGTCGCCTACCTCCGTTCTAGCATACATGGACCTATCTACTCGTAAGTCGTTGCGTGTTTTTTTTATCGCGAGTTCCTCATCATGCCTGAGCTGTGTGTGTCATTTGCTTGTCTCCCCGCTTCTCCTTCGGCCGCGTCGTTTTTGGCTGCGCTCTCCCGTGGTGTTCTCCCGAATACACCCAAAAGCCTCGCCTTGTGCCTTGGCAAGAAATCCCACACCTGACACAGGCATCGCTTTCGAATCAACGCGGACCAAGGGGGGGGTAGACTATGCTCGTCGTTGTTGCCTGTCTTGCCTGACTGTGTCTTCTTGAACGCGATGCGTGCCTTTCAAGAGGGAGCAAGATCGTACCGCGGTTTCCAAATGGGAAATGCGTCTTCCCGAAACTCCGAAGCCTGTCCAGGCAAAGATTCACGTGCTGTTTGCGGCTGTTTATCGGTTTCGCGAAATCGTTGCTACCGTCCCTTTCCCCGCATTATATCAAAATCACTCGGTTGCCTAGCGCAACCTACGCAGCAGCCATCATGCTGTCAAACGCGATGCCGCCAATGGCATACAGACCCCGCCACACCCTGTACTTGCGGGCAGATCCATGGCGCCCAACTACTACAAACTGCATGGCGCCATTCTTAGTCCTCAAGAGGAACGAAGAACCCCAGTCTAAGCCAAAATTGGAGGCTCTTGAGTGCGACGGTCACTGTAGATATACGGGATCGTCTTTTGCAAGGCCGGCGCCCTTTTCTGTTGGCCACGGGGGCGCTACAACAGTACCGTAGTTTTGACGTTTTTCCCCTTGTTTTGGGAGTTCGATTCTTCGAACCTCGAACATAGCCAAGCACGGCCTTCTCCAGTCCACTGGAGGGCCAAAGCCGCAGCCATTAAAACGGCCGTTGTATTTGTGGTGGGCACAGGTGCTTCTACTACAGCAAGTTGTACCCATCTTAATCTCGCTTGGTTCCTTCCTTCTCTTTCCGCGTCTTGTCCACCCGGAAGAATCAAGAAGACTCGGAAGAGCAAGCAAGTAGTGCGAACAGACACGCCATGTCGGTGCCACCGCGCTGGCCCGTATACTTTTGAGTAAGGCTCAAGAGTATCATCGTGCTCAATTGCGTCATTTTTCATCGAATAATCTAGACCAAAGGTATTCTGTGGGTAAGTGCGTTCTATCAACGCAGGTACTGCTGCGCGCACTGACTTAGGTACCCTGTTCAAGACAACCGACCAAAAATGTCCCCCCTACAGCTGTTGACTAGACTACTACTGTTGGAGCCGGACACGCGCCATGCCCTGTCAACTCTCATATTTTCGTTGTTTGCTGCCTGCGTTGCGTATCCTTGCGTGTGAGGGTGCGCTTGCTTGCGCACACATACATCCGTTGCGGTAGCCAGGCCTGGACATGCAACCAACTATCTACACCAAGTGCCTCGGGTCTCGGTCGACACATCTTGATCAGCTAGTTAGTTTTTCCTTGTGCACATGCATGCCCACAAAGCCCTACTGTAGTCACGAGGCAATCCCGTGGAATCGAAGCCCGGAAGAGGAGGTGATGGGTGGGAGAGGTGACCACAACATAAAAAATATACACGTCATATATTTGACAGACCGAGAGAGACAAACGAGGGTACGGCCAAAGCAGCAACACCAGGCTACACGCCCCATCAAGCAGTCGACACGAACAAACAGACGTGCTCACTATTCGATAACACTTGGCCTACGAGACGAGTGACAAAGGGAGGCGCTACGCCAACAAACTATACCTACTAAGTAAATAGTATGCAGGCAGGAACAGACAGAGCGGCAGTATCAGAACGAAATAATGCCGTCCACCTACCAAAGAGGAGCGCAAACACGGAGCAGAAACTACCCACACCAAGGAAACATGAAAAAAAACTGTAAGCATCAAACACCACACACTTTTTCGTCTCGACGCTCGCCACGCAATGCCTACAGTAGGTAGGCACCCGGGGGTTGAATCCATGTCGAAGACATTTTGAGTAAGAGGTACTACTGTATCTCGCTTGTCTCGTGTACACTCCCCCCCTCCCACATTTCTCTCCATCTCTCTTTCGACAGAGTTTCCCGCCCAACTCGTTCAAGAGATAAAAAAGCAGTTGATTTTGAATACCGTAGGATACTTTGCGTGGTCCTGCAAACAAGAAACCAAATGTTAAGACGGGTGTGGTGATGGTGGGTCCACGCACCACACACCCGTCCATCGACATCACTCTAAGAATGCGCGTGTGGATACACACACACAAAAAAAAAACAGACTTGACGGAAAGAAAGAAAACACACACACCAACGGACCAGTCCTCACCGCAGGACCGGGAAAGCGCGGGTTGATCTCGAATCTCAGCAAAGCAAAAACGACACTCACTGCTCCTGCAGCGGAACCGTTGAGGGGGG